AGTTCAGTAGCTTTGGATCATCTGATTCTTGAAACAACATAAGCAGATTCAGTAAAAGTGAGTAAGAAAGGCTTCCCTTGAAGCTATTTGCATCAACTGACAAGCCCTGACAAGGAAACTAATTTTTGTAGGCAACAAATTAAATATATGTTGGCATTAAAAAATTACCCAAACAAACTAGCTGCCACTCATCTCTCAGGGGGGGAAAGACAAAGCCTTTCCCAGCCCTGCCTTTTCGAAATCATGTGTGCTCCAGAACAGGTTTTTTTAATACTTGCACTTCCTTCAGTTAACTGCAATTTCTTTTTAAAGAGCTAAGCAAATATTGCTTTCCTTTTTATATTCCAAAAGCTATTCACAAAAATCTTGGGTGCTGGCAGTACTGGCAACAGTTTTCCTTAGCCTGACCTGTCCTAACTGCACAGTCATCCTTACCTAAGAATCTGTAGTAGATACCAAAGATAGTTTCTGAAACTTTAATAATTCTTTGGGTCCTTTCAGCAGTTATCTTAAAATTCTGGTGATTAGGGACTAGTGAATATGATGCTGTGTCAGCTACTTTGCTCTCCCTCAGAACGTGTGTTGAAGATGTGTTTGTGCACAGAGCGAATGCTTCTCTTTGGATGTGGACATGCAGAAGTTGCTTTCAGGGATCCAGTGTTGCAGATTTCTGTGCTGACAGGACAGCAGGAAGTGGTGAATTGGGCAGCCAATGTGTCGATGGATCTGAGACAATAATCAATGTGTACAAATGGTTTTTTTCCTTTCTTTTTTTGTAATAAATTGTTTTTTGTATTTGCCACTGAAGTCTTGTTCTCTTGTTCACAGTGATTGCAAATTGTTTATCTTTCTGAGGGAGTGATAAGATACTGAATTCAAACCCCCAGAAAATGTCTAGGAATTTTAACCATGAAACCACAGACACTGCATTTGGGACCTGGTAATGTTGTGATGAATATATCCCCCACTCCCACCCAAGACAACAAACATCCAATGTGCCTGTTTTCTTTCTTCCTATTACCACTGTGTACACCACTTAAGGAAAATATAAGATTTGATGACAGGTGAGATTTTGCCCATATTGAAGCGCACAGCAACTGATAAAAAGAGCAACAAGTATGTCTACTGATTAAGCCTCAAAAGAAGAGGCTTCGCAAAAAAAGAACAGAAAACAAGAGAGAGCCAAAAGGCCAAAATAAAAGAAATTGAGACCATCTCTTCTGCTGCCCAGCTCCTTGCAGGGACAGCAGG